TAGAACTAACACTATACCTAGAACTAGAATCATTCGGGTTTAGCCGTCTTTAGAGACGTGCGGCTAAACCCAAATGATTCTAGTTCTAGGTATAGTGTTACTTCTACATATTACCAGTGCTAGTATAAAACTAGAACTAACACTAGACCTAGAACTAGAAACATTCGGGTTTAGCCGTGCGTCTTCATACGCACGGCTAAACCCGAAACTTTCTAGTTCTAAGTCTAGTGTTAGTTCTAGTTTTAATTGTTATTCAGCGCTAGATTGTTGTATATTTTTATTGAAGTAGTTGAAAGGTTAAATATACGTTTAAGAGAGTAAAACTAGGATCATTGTGTTAAGTCTTAAGAGACTCACGGCTAAAGTCAAATGTTTCTAATAATAGGTCTGATGTTAGTTCTAGTGACAGTGCAAGTGTAAAACTAGAACTAACACTAACTAGCCGCACGTCTCTAAAGACGGCTAAACCCGAATAATTCTAGTTCTAGGTATAGTGTTAGTTCTACATATTAACAGTGCTAGTGTAAAACTAGAACTAACACTATACCTAGAACTAGAATCATTCGGGTTTAGCCATTTTTAGAGACGTGCGGCTAAACCTAAATGATTTTAGTTCTAGATATAGTAGATTCGGTGTTCATCGCAAATTTTATTTAATAATTAAACTATGTTTAACGATGAAGTAAATTTATTTGTTTTTCAGTGCTACATATGTTTCGGAATTTCTTTCTTTCTTCAGGCACGACTGAAAATTCCATGACATTATCAAATTGATGTAACAAATTAACTAAAGATTAAAACAATTAAGGAGCAAAAACAACATACAGTGAAATTCCCCTAACTCGAACTTCTATATCTCGAATTATCCTCTAAGGCTCACTTTTACCATCTCTTTATAAATTTTTCCGATAAATAAATTGGCGCTCTTATCTAATGAGAGCGCTTAAAATCGCTGTAACCATGGTAATTATCCCTTAGATAGTTTATCAGGAGGATGGTAAAAGTGGACCTAAGTCGAATAATTTTCGTAAGCTCAAGCGTTTGACTAGGCTTCAAATGTGTTTCTCTAACTCGAATTTTCCATAACTCGAAGTTTTCTTCCACTCCCTTAGTGATTCGAGTTAGGGGAATTTCACTGTATAAGGATTAAAAGAAAATTAAAGGAAACAGCTCACCGTCAGATCTCAGAGGAACTCCTTTTTATAATTAAAATTCATTTCTACGTTCATCAATAATTTAGGCGTATATGTTTAGGAGTTTATCCCCTGAACAAATTTGAAATTTGTTAAATGTGAAAAAATGTGAGAATAGTTATTTATGGCTTGAAGATCATGTCATATTTAAAATAATTTGTTATATCTTGATAAATAAAATTCTGAACTACATTTCCTTTATTCCGAAACATATGTAGCACTGAAAAACAAATAAATTTGCTTCATCGTTTAACATAGTTTAATTATTAAATTCTAGCTCTAGGTATAGTGTTAGTTCTACATAGTAATAATGCTAGTGTAAAATTAGAACTAACACTAGACCTAGAACTAGAAACATTCGGGTTTAGCCGTCTTTAGAGACATGCGGCTAAACCCAAATGATTCTAGCTCTAGGTATAGTGTTAGTTCTAGTTTTACACTTGCACTGTCACTAGAACTAACATCAGACCTATTATTAGAAACATTTGGCTTTAGCCGTGAGTCTCTTAAGACTTAACACAATGATTCTAGTTTTACTCTCTAATACGTATATTAATAATAATAATTTATTTAATCACCTGGCTACAAATAGTAGATGTGACAAGTTCAAACCACATACAATATATAATACACAATATTCAACAAAGAAAGAGAGAAATTAAATTATGAAGTATGACCTATGCTAGTTGACTAGGACTAATACTAAAATTAAATGACAAGTATTCCTGGCGGTCGTAAAACGCCATTTCTACAAGCATCATTTTTACTTTATGTTTAAATGAGCTAAGCGTATCAGCTTTTTTAATTGCAGATGGCAAATTATTATAGAGCTTTGGGAAATCATACCGTGGACTCTTTTCAAAGAAAGCCGTCTTATGATGACCCAACCACACCAAACTATCAGATCTAGTTTCGTAATTGTGTTTCATGACAGGGTATCTATCGACATGCTCCCGCACATGAACAACTGATTTATATATATATATACTTTGAAGAGTAAGAAGCGAATTGGCCTTGAATGTATCTCTACACGAATCTCTGCAGTTTAGGTCGAAGATTAATCTTATAATGCGCTTCTGTGCTACAAAGGCANACTGTACACGACTTAACTGACTGCCGGTCCTTACAGTCTGATTTAGATAACGTATTTAATTGGTGTCGGCTCAACAAGCTCCATTTTAATGTGTCTAAATGTGAGTCAATGACGTATACATTGAGGAAGAGGCCGATAGAATTTGTATATAAAATAAATAATGTGAATTTGAGGTGTGTTGTTAAAAAGAGAGACTTGGGTGTGTTGTTTTCGCCTGGTTTATGCTTTGCTGAACATATTAAAGCCACAGCAACCACAGCTTTGCGTCTCTTAGGATTTGTCATTAGAAATGGGTACAGTTTCTCAAACTTACAGACGCTGCAATTACTGTTCAATTCTTTAGTGCGATCTAAGCTGGAATATGCGGTAATAGTATGGGATCCCGGGTCAATTCTTTATTCTAATTTAATAGAAACTATTCAAAATAAATTCATTAGGTATCTCTACTACAAAAAATTCCGTGTTTTCATTGGTTTTAGATCGTACGAATTTGCACGCAAATTATTTAAGATCACCAGGTTGTCTCTCAGAAGAAAAATTATATCACTCTGTTTTCTGTATAAAATGTTGAATAATAGTATAAATGCTCCATTAATATTAGAAAATATTGGTTTCTATGCGCCTGCATATTGTGGTAGGCTAAAGAATCTTTTCTATATTCCTCGGTTTTCAACTGAACTGAGACGAAATTCTCCTCTTATTAGAATCCTTTCACTGTACAACACACTGTCGGCTTCTTCCTTCATACCTCTGTTTGGCATTGGTATTAGATCGTTTAAACAACATTTGACACCTTTGATAAGTGCTGCAGCCACCCAGTAGCCAAACTTGATTTTTGTCATTGAATTCTGTAATTTGTGATGTAATTCTATTCATTTTTTAAAGTTTTGGTTCAATATATCCTCCGCGCGTTCTGTGATGGGTTAATTAACATTTATGCTTGATCTTGGTTGTTTTGTTATTTTTGTTGGTTATATTATGTACTATTAGACTTAAGTTCTGAAATTTGTAATTAGGGACAACCCTGTAATTTCGAAAGTAAAATAAATAAATAAATAAATAAATTAGACTTAGAACTAGAAACATTTGGGGTTAGCCGCACGTCTCTAAAGACTAAAATTATTCGGGTTTAGCCGTCTCTAGAGACATGCGGCTAAACCCAGGCCATACTACATATTAACATTGCTAGTGTAAAACTAGAACTAACACTATACCTAGAACTAGAATCATTCGGGTTTAGCCGTCTTTAGAGACGTGCGGCTAAACCCAAATGGTTCTAGCTCTAGGTATAGTGTTAGTTCTACATAGTAATAGTGCTAGTGTAAAACTAAAACTAACACTATACCTAGAACTAGAATCATTCGGGTTTAGCCGTCTTTAGACAACTCGGGGCATACCCGGAGTTTATCTATGAATATGGAATAAAACAACTTGGGGAATAATCCGAGTTGAATTCTATCTATGAATGCTAACAATTATATTTAAATATAATTTTTTAATATAATTATTATATTAAATAAATAATATTAATAGTATGACTTAAAAATATTTTGTCGGTTATACCGAGGTTTTACTGTATTAAGATTTATTAATGTTTTATTTATTTTGTTTTTGTTAGATTTTCAGATTTAAAACCAGACACTTTCTCGGGATTAAGAGATGTGCTATTCTTCAGTCTAGCAGATAATCCAATTGAGCATATTCCAACAACGCTCCTCAAACAAATGCCCAACATTGCGACATTAGATCTTGGAAGAATGCGAGTCCAACATTTACGAGAACATGATTTAAATGTAAGAATTTGAATAAAAAAATTTAATTTTTACTAACAAAAACAAATTTTAGGATCTCGGAAACGTCCAAGGGCTTTTATTACCGAGTAATCTAATCGAGGAAATAGACACCAGGAGTATACCAGCCAACGTAACCAGATTACATTTGGGTCATAACAAGATAAGACACTTAAACGGAAGCTTAAGACACTTAAATGAATTAGTTTGGTTGTTCATCAACGATAATAGTTTGACGAGTTTGGATAATCAACTACCGGAAAATGGGAATAAAATGATTTTATTACACGCGGCTAACAATAAAATAAAAAAATTACCGCAAGAATTAAGATATTTAACGAAATTGAGTTCGTTGTTTATGTACAATAACGAAATATCAACTTTGGATACCATTCTTTCAAGAAGTAGTTTATTGGAACGATTACAATTGGAACGAAACCATCTAAAAATGTTACAAGTTGATGATTTCACCGGGGCTATTAAATTGGAATCGCTTCATTTGGACTATAATCATTTAACGTCATTGAATGGATCGTTGCATCCGTTAATAAATTTGGGATTTTTGAACGTCTCGCATAATAGATTGCAAGAATTTTCTTTTGAGGAAATTAAAGGATTGGATAGGTTGACTATTTTGGATCTTTCCCACAATCGTATTAGACATTTAGTTGGATTTACAGTGGTACGTATTCATAAATATATTTATAGATATCCCAGAATATAGAGGTAGTTTTAAAAGAAATTTCTTTAATATGCATAAATTAGAATGTTCAATTAATTCGATCCAAAGGGAATAACTTTGCTTCAAAGTAATTTCCCAAACAAATCTTCTATGTAAATCAATCATGAAATATCTCTAAGAATAACAAATCAACTCAACTCAAACGAAACTCAACCCCATAATAAAGCAACCCTACCCAGTCTATTTTATCTTGATCAGCAGTAGGGTTGAGTAGAATCCAGCCCAACCTTAAAGCAATCCAATCAATCTCAAAGCCAGGAAATCCCAACGCAAGTCAATTTAAAAACAAGTAAACTACTAATAAGCCAACCCCAAAGCAAACTAATTTAATTCCAACGTAACCCCACTTCATAACAACTCATCCAACTCCAGAACAAGTTCAAATCATCCAGAACCATCCTACTTTAGAGCATCTCTACAACAGAGTCACTTAACACCAAAACAAGCCAACGCAACCTGTAAACAATTCAAACCCAAAGTAACTTAATAACGAAGCAACTCCTCCAAAAAGTAACCCAACTATGAGCCATCTACAAAACAAATCCCAATCATAAATCACTTTAACCATGATGCAACTTATCTACAAAGTAACAAATATACTGCAAAGTACCTAAGTCAATCCCAACTCAAACCAACTCCAGAGCAATACATTCAAAAAATAATTCAAGTCCACAGCTAGCCAATTCCATAATAATTACCTAATGCTAAAGTAAGCCAACGCAACCTCAAAACTATCTCAAAATTGATGTACTGGAAGTACTTTTAAAGTACTTTATTTATTTACTCTATGAAACTAAAATAATTAGAGTACTTAAAGGAGTTGTTACTGGGTACTTGAATATTTAGTTTCAAGTAAAAATTGCTTATTACTCCTATCACTTTTTTAAAAGTACTTGTTACTTATTACTTGGAGCAAAAACAATGCTTGTACTGGTTATTGGGACCAATTTTTCTTAGTACTTATAACAACTCTAGACCTATGCGAAGCACTGAAAAAAGGATATGCATAGAGATCAGCTTGTTGCCCAGTCTCTTGGAACGTAATAATAAAGAGATTCTTAACAAAAATGGATAGAAAAATTAAAGTAAAAGCTGCTTTAGCGTATGCTGACGTCATAATCCTTGTAGAAGGTTATAGCAAAGCACCAATGGAAGAATAGCTATGATAAAGTAAAATTGACATATACAGAGATAAGACGCAATGAAAGGTAATTTAATTAGAGATCCGGTAATAAAGATTTACGCTATATTGATAAAACAGAAACAAACGAGGAAATAAAAAGTGATACCAAATAGTACATCCAAACTACTTGAAGCATGTGCAAATAAGCACATGGATTAGGTTATCATTATATAGAACTACATTAGTGGATACTATTCAGTTGACACTAGAACGCTGCTATTGGATCTGGAGGTGCAGCGAAATCTATTATTGCGCTGTCTGTGGACAAAGGTTGACGATACAATTGGCGATTATGAATTTTAACGTCTCCCTACAGATTTGTCTCTGCCATTTTTCCTTCTATAATCAATTTAAGAAGGTGGTATCGCTAGCCTCTTGTTTGTGTAGCAAATAGTTCAACATTTTATGTTCAATGCAGAACTAGATCGGTTTGTGTCTTCACCAAGTCTATATTGGGCGCATATTTCTTCGTCAACGCTTTTCTCAATTTTAGCGTTAAAATCTCTTGTTAATTGTTGTTTCACCCTTTTTAGTAAGTTGAATAGAATTCTAAGATTCCCAGTTTATTGAGGCGTCAGGGTTTAGCTCCAGAGTAGTTAGATTTAAAGCTTATAAATAAAAAATAGTAATAATTGGGTTCAATCTTGTTATATATCTAGTCTTTATGGTTCATTACTAAGGTTTTATGTATAAAAAATATGTCTCCATAGCTTTTAGTTTTTGAGTTATAATTGAGTTAATTTTCGAAAATCAATAATTTTGATGTTTAATCGGTTTAGAGCTTATAAATAAAAAATGGTAATAATTGGGTTCAATCTTTTTATGGATCTTGTCTTTATGGTCCATTACTAAGGTTTTATGTATAAAAAGTATTTCCCCATCGCTTTTAGTTTTTGAGTTATGATTGAGTTAATTTTCGAAAATCAACAATTTTGATGTTTAATCGATTTAGAGCTTATAAATAAAAAATGGTAATAATTGGGTTCAATCTTTTTATGGATCTAGTCTTTATGGTCCATTACTAAGGTTTTATGTATAAAAAATATTTCCCCATCGGTTTCAGTTTATGAGTTATGATTGAGTTAATTTTCGAAAAGCAACAATTTTGATGTTTAATTGGTTTAGAGCTTATAAATAAAAAATGGTAATAATTGGGTTCAACCTTGTTATCGATCTAGTCTTTATCGCCCATTACTAAGGTTTTATGTATAAAAAATTCTTCTCCATAGCTTTTAGTTTTTGAGTTATGATTGAGTTAATTTTCGAAAATCAACCATTTTGATGTTTAATCGATTTAGAGCTTATAAATAAAAAATGGTAATAATTGGGTTCAATCTTGTTATGGATCTAGTCTTTATCGCCCATTACTAAGGTTTTATGTATAAAAAGTTCTTCTCCATACCTTTTAGTTTTTGAGTTAAGGTTGAGTTAATTTTCGAAAATCAACAATTTTGATGTTTAATGGGTTTAGAGCTTATAAATAAAAAAAAGTAATAATTGGGTTCAATCTTGTTATGGATCTAGTCTTTATGGTCCATTGCTAAGGTTTTATGTATAAAAAGTTCTTTTCCATATCTTTTAGTTTTTGAGTTAAGATTGAGTTAATTTTCGAAAATCAACAATTTTGATGTTTAATCGATTTAGAGCTTATAAATAAAAAATGGTAATAATTGGGTTCAATCTTGTTATGGATCTAGTCTTTATGGTCCATTACTAAGGTTTTATGTATAAAAAATATTTCCCCATCGCTTTTAGTTTATGAGTTATGATTGAGTTAATTTTCGAAAATCAACAATTTTAATGTTTAATCGATTTAGAGCTTATAAATAAAAAATGGTAATAATTGGGTTCAATCTTGTTATGGATCTAGTCTTTATGGTCCATTACTAAGGTTTTATGTATAAAAAATATTTCCCCATCGCTTTTAGTTTATGAGTTATGATTGATTTAATTTCCGAAAATCAACAATTTTAATGTTTAATTGATTTAGAGCTTATAAATAAAAAATGGTAATAATTGGGTTCAATCTTGTTATGGATCTAATCTTTATTGCCCATTACTAAGGTTTTATGTATAAAAAGTTTTTCTCCATAGCTTTTAGTTTTTGAGTTATGATTGAGTTAATTTTCGAAAATCGACAATGCTGATGAGGAGAATTTCATCCCATTTATAGTTAACTAGCTGATACATCTCGGCATTTAAATTCCCAATCTTTCTTAAATGCCTTATTCTATTCCATTAGCAATTTGTTAAAATGATACGCCAATTTTCTTTGGTATCATAAAAATATAATATGAACCAATTGGTAAGCGATAGCTGGAGTTTTCTCTTTCAACGAGTGTATTTGAAATGTCATTCTGGGATTAATTTTAAACACAAAATATTTAAAAACAACTTAATTATTGTAATATTTCTTTTATAGAATTCATTAGAGTGGGGTTCCAATTTAAGTGATTTGAATTTGGACCACAACGATATCCATCGTTTAAATTGCGCAGTATCTGGTTTTACAAAACTAGTTCGTCTCAACGTCAGTTTTAATAAGATAACTCACATATCACCCGACGATTTTATAGGATTAGAAAATTTACACATGTTGGACATTTCCCATAATCATTTATCAACTTTAGAAGAAACAAGCAAGGTTTGTAATTTATAACAAACTTTTTTTTTAATATAAAAATGATTTTTTTTAGACGTATCTTCCGAAATTACAAGAATTATTGGTGTCTCATAACCGTTTACATCGATTAGATAAAGATTTCCATGGTTTACCAGTATTATGTTGGGCTGATCTTTCTTACAACCAAATCATATCGATTGGAAGAGAATTAGTGGCTAAAACGCATTGCAGATACAATGATATTCGTTATAATCGTTGGGCTAATTTATCTATTAATTTAGCTGGTAAATACTTTTAGGTCAATTTTATTCTTTATTTAATTTTTGCTAATTTGTAGAGAACCCAATTTTATGTGACATATCCTACCCGGATCTTAAAATCGACATGGAAAGGAATCACACAATTCTATCAGGAAGCACAGAATGCCTTTCGTATCCCAACGTGAATTATCTTGGATCCAGAGAATCTCCCCAAATATCTTTAGATCATAAAAAAAGAATCGAACCGCCTTATTTGGACCCATTCTACAACGTCGCCTACAACCCAGTAACGGAAATGTCGAATCAAGTTAAAAAATCGATCCAAACCGAAAACGAAGAACAAAACAATCATCAAAATCAAATTTCATCCCAAGAAAGTGACCCGACCAAATACACTTTAGTACAACAACAAATTTTTGTACCATTACCAAATCAATTTGCAAATTCAAACGAACAAGATCAAAACAATGAGATGCAACAACCGGATTCGTATCAACATCAAACGTATCACACCCCCGAAAGAAATCTTAATTTGAATAACCGAATCGAAACGATACACATGAATAATAAGCCGTTAAACGTACAACAAGTTTACACGCACGTCGATCCAGTTTTGCAAGAACAACAATTAACGCAATTGGCCTCCGAAATAGAACAGCTTCGCGCTAAAGTCGAAAAATTATCATCCGAAAATCAAAGACTATCGCAAAATCTAAACCAACAGAATTTGAATCAACAAAATCTTGAGTCGCAAAATAAATTTTTCGAAGATTCAAGGCCAATGTTGCCTTTGGTACAATTACCGACGATTTCAACGACCGAACCTCCCAATGAAAACAATTACGGTAGGACGCGTTGAGCCCAACAGTTTAATGTAACGCGGTGCGAATGTATGGAAATATTTGTTTTTAGAATGGGTACGACCCGCAAAGTGTGTTAAAACGATTATTATTTTTTTAAAAAGAAATGATTCGAAAGGAGTTATTTATTAGCTGAATTTCCTAGTCACTTTTTTTTTAATTTGTTTATTACTTTTATTATTTTGTTTTTTTTTTAACGACGTAAAAATTACAACTCACTAACTTAATAATGAATACAAATACAAAACAATACGTTAAGAAGCAAACGTATCAAATCAACTCAACAAAAAGAAATGGAAATAAACACTAAGTAGGTACACGAATGGAAGGGAGTAATAGAAAATGAGAAATAAATATATATATGTAGAGAGAGAAGAGTATGTGAGTGTAATATAATAAAAAAAATTAATTCTAAATGTAACGTTTTACGTCCTTTCTTGTAAACAATACAAAGACAGAACTTAAGTTACGTTTTCATTTGTATTCTAATTAGTTAATTAGGTTCACTCTTGTACATGATGATTATTAACTATTATTAATGTTATTACTGACTGTTAAAAAAATTGTTTTTTGAGATAGACTTGATAAATTAAAAAAAATAAATAATAGAAAAACAAGACTAAACGAGTACTGTAAAGCAGCTAGTCTACTTTAACTTGGACAACGATTAAGGATACTTTATTTATTTGTTGAAATTTTACTCGTTTTTATTATTATCCATTAAATGCACTATATAGAGAATTTATAAAGTGGTGATTAGCTTTACGGCCAATATTTTTAGATTTTTAGGAAATAGTTTATGATAGAGATGCAGATACCGAAATTAAAAACGTATCTGCGTGTATTTATATATATGTATATGTTTAATATATGTAAATTATTTGATTTTTATTGCGTTTTCATTCATTTTCACAATATATTTGTCGTAACAACACAGAAATGTGCCTATTAATATTAATAACATACCCACAATAGTCTCTAAAAAGACACAAATTAAAATTTTAATATTTACTCAGTTATTCCTTACCTTTTTTTGGTTTATTTTCTCCAAGAATCACACCTGTAATTGCGGTAACAACGAACGAAAGGGAATTCGTTACTGGTACAGCCATCGATATTTCCGCATTTTGTAATGTGAAGAAATACAAAATTGATCCTAATTGATTTAAAGCCATTGGTACGATATACTAAAATAAAAAAAACAAGGTAGATTTGTATTGTTTGATCATAAGTGTCATAACACAGGGGAACACAATTTTTTTTTCTGCGACATAAGTTTATGGAGTTAATTTAGATATATATAATTATGAAGTACTCAACCTATACATTATTTCTCATGGTTCTCATGATAACTCGTTCTATAAAAAATACGGGTTTTTACTAGCATTCCCTCATTAACGTGTCTTTTTCGAAGTATAACGAATTGACAAATACTTATCGTTGCCCGAACAACGAATAGCACCTTCTTCATAATTTTTGAGTGTTAAAAAATCTCAATTGATTATATTATTTAATTTATTGAGCGTTATTGTTACAAAAAGTATGAGTTTTTCACCGACCATTTCTGCTACATATGTGGTAAATGTTGTCAAGAAAAGCAACGAAGGAACATAAATGATTTGTAGAACAAAGTTATAGGGCATATTTTGGAAAATAACTTGGATAACAAGACAAATGTTGGGCCCACACAAACTTGCATGGAGTAACTTCGAAAAGGGCTTCCGTTTGGAATACCGGTGACATAGACATAGTCAAAAAACCACCTTGATGATTGCTACTTTTGTGATGTGAATTTGAAAGGTATGAACCGATACAAAAAGCGCTCTTGGGTTCACGCAAACGTACAATCCACTAAGAAACCAACGCTACATAGTGAAGATTTGCCCATGCAGGTATTTATTATCGGATTCAAAAGTTTTTGCCCCTCACTTTGAACGCGAATAACAAAAAAACTACTGCGTAGAAAAAATCGAGACCACCTTTGTTGGACGCGAAATTTAATTGTTAAAATGTGTGGTGATTTCAATTTTTTCTCCCACTCGTATAGCAATTGTCACAGGTATAATGAAAAAATGTACGCGATTTCGGACGATCGGCGAAGAAGCTCGACTTTGTGATTTTTTTACACGGGAACGGTTCATCGAAAAAAATCTCAATTTCGACCACACATTGCCTAAAGTGTACTAAACATGCCAGTGTTTTTATTTTTTGATTTTATTTGACCCATTTACCTGACCCATTATCAAAAAAAACTACATTATGTGAAGTAGTGATATCTCGATAACGCGTTATCGTATGAGATTGAGGCTAACATCATTTTGACCGCCTGATGAAATTGAATAAAACCCTAACCCTCATTGTACATGAAGTACTCAATGCGATTTTATAATGAGAGTTAAATGAATCCGCGCGAATCTATTTCCGCGGGTGTGAGGAGCTGAGGAACGTTACGCCGGCCGGGCCTCTTCGGCATTATGTGGCGGGGAGGCATCTTCAAACGTATAGGATAGGAACGGCTTAAGCACTGTACAAATTTTTGTTATTTTTTGCATTTATTTTTCAAATAATTTTTTAAACAAGTCACTATTTTTTACTGGTAACCACAATTTATTGTCTGCTAGATTAACAGTATCACTGTTATTATTCGTGGGTTTATATACGGTTTTACAGAAATGAAAACAACAACCAATTTTTCGATTATTTACGATTATTCTGGAAATTATATTGATAAGACAGTTTATATATAAGTAAATTATATATAGTAGAATAGTGGTTTATATATAGGGTAATTCAAATTCGACCCCCACCATTAGGATCTCAGAAACCATAAGAGATACAGAAATGGTTATTTTTTTGTTTTTCGGCCATATTTTAAAAACTAAAACGGCTAGATCCAAAAACTTAGTTGAAAAATGATGCACTAAGATACACAATTTTGCCCCCATTTAACCATTTCTGTATCNGTTATTTTTTTGTTTTTCGGCCATATTTTAAAAACTAAAACGGCTAGATCCAAAAACTTAGTTGAAAAATGATGCACTAATTGTAAGATACACAATTTTGTCCCCATTTAACCATTTCTGTATCTTTTATGGTTTCTGAGGTCCCAATGGTGGGGGTCGAATTTGAATTACTTGTATAGTAGAATATAGTGGTTTAGTAGCAATAGTAGTGGTTTATTATTATTATGGTTTTTCAAAAGGATTTTATTATTTTGAACATTCAAGGTTTCACAGTTCCTCATTCAAGGTTACAATTGATTGTAAATTATAATTGTAATAAAAGGTTATAAAAACTGTAAAATGCTGTTTTGATTTAAAAAATTATTAAAAATTATTTGAAAAGTAAATTCAAAAAATAACAAAAATTCGTACAGTGCGCTTAAGCCGTTCCTGTCCTATACGTGTAAAGATGCCTGCCCGCCATATAATGCCGAAGAGGCCCGACGGAAACTTCCTCCGCTCCTCACACCCGCGCTAATAGATTCGCGCGGATTCATTTAACTCTCATTATAAAATCGCATTGAGTACTTCAACTAAAAAAACTGGCAACATTTCATAGATGGCTCAAAAAAAGTTTGCAATGTGTGTTACTGCATAACGGAAATAAATTAGCTTCAATCCCGATAGCTCATTCCACTATAGTACTCTTAACACATTAAGGGCCGCTCACGAGTTTTCTCGTGTTGGGCAAAAAACGTGCGGTCCCAGGCGTATGTCTTACAGATTTCTCCGCGGTCCTTAATGTGACGCTGAATAACAACTAAAACACGAACTAACACTGACATTAGAACTAATACTAGACCTAGAATTCAAAACATTTGAGTTTAGCCGTCTTAAGACATTAAGAAATTGTTTGGTGCCTATCTATTTTTATCACAGAACACTGATGACAGCCATCACAAGCACAGAATCCGCTTGGTCAGTCGTTTTACGATTACACAGGCGTTTCTGTAAGTCGTGGCACAATTTAAATCAGAAATACTAGAATCAAAATGATGTTTCGTATAAAAATTTTTGAAGAAAATTATCTAGGGTTTGATTTTGTACTTTTCAACTGGTTTCTATTTTATATACAATTTAAGTCTAACTAGTTTCGGACCTTGGCCACCTCCAGAGACTCTACAAATAGATTAACATCCCTCGTCCTATTCATTTTAGAAACAAGTTTCTTAATATTTCTTTTTTTTTGTTACAAAAGATCACATATCAATGTCGAAATTAGATTATTAGTTACTAATTTACAAAATTAAAGTTTAAAAAGTTGTAAAATGAAATTAAGGACGAAGTGTTACAAGTTTACAGGTTAAAATTTAAGAACGCTCTATTTTAAGAAAAGAAATATTAAGAAACTTGGGAAAAATTCAAGAATCATTTAAAAATCGACGACTGAAAAGTGACTAACACTAGATTAACTTCATCTAGAAAACTTCTATTATATGATAACTAACTTCAGGTTTAAAATGTCAACCTCAACTTTGACATATTTGTAATCTTCATTAAAAATTCTTTAAAATGAGTACAAACACGACATATTTATCTTCAATAATGAAGTTATGGCCAACTTCCGGTTAAGAATGTCAACCTCAATTTTGACATATTTGTAATCGTCGTGAAAAATCCTTTAAAATGAGTCCAAACATGATACGTTTAATTCCAATATTACTCGAGATATAAGCAACTTCCGATTTGAAATGTCAATGTCATTTTGACATATTCTTAATTTTTATAAAATCTCTTAATATTTGTCACAAAAATAAAAATATAATAAAAAGTCAAGGTTGGTATTAATATTTAAAAATTAAATTGTTATCTTCATTGTTGCTAATTTCGGGTTTAGTGTTTTTTATTCTAACTTTTTTGTTTTTTTTTAAATCCCTAGATTTACAAAGTACCGCCATTTGGCTCGAAAGTCAAGCTGGAAATTTAAAACTCGGTCATTCTGTTGATAATATTACGCCAAAACTCCATTCTTTTTCTCGTGGTACTCTTAAGAGTCGAAAGCCCTTCTTACTGCTATTTTTGCAACACCAAAGGCAACAAGACGGCAATATTTTTGTAAATAAGTGGTGAGATGCAGTGACAAGTTGTCAAACCGCCATTTTGGCTCGAAAACAGGCGTCATGAACCGCGGTACTTTGTAAATCTAGGGACTTTAGTTTTTTTGAGATAAGTTCGTCATCTTTGGACTCATTTTAAAGGTTTTTTTAATGAAGATGACAAATATATCAAAATTGACGTTGAAAGTGCGAACTTTTTGGTTTTTTGAGAGAAATGCGTCAACTTTGGACTCACTTTAAAGGATATTTTATGAAGATTACAAATATTATAATAAAATTAAAGTTGACATTGACAACTGAAAGTTTTTTTCACGACTAAACCCGAATGTTTCTAGTTCTCGTTCTAGTTTCAGTTCAATAACAATATACAACATAGTAATATCTTATGCTAACTTGCGCTACCTATCACTGCCACTAGAATTAACACTAGACTGATAACTAGAGACATTCGGATTTAGTCCCACGTCTCTCAAGACGGCTAAACCCGAATGATTCTAATTCTAGGTCTTTTTCTAGTGATAATGCTAGTGTAAAAGTAGTTTCTAGAATGTTTCTAGTTCTAGATCTAGTGTTAGTTCTAGTTTTAATTGTTGTTCAGCGCTAGGTTGTTGTACATTTTTATTGAAGTAGTTGAAAGGTTAAATATACGTATTAGAAAAGTACGTATATTAGATTATATGTATAGTAGAACTAGAATCATTGGGATTAGCCACACGTCTCTAAAGACTGCTAAACCCAAATCTTTCTAGTTCTAGGTATAGTGTTAGTTCTAGTTTTACACTTGCACTGTCACTAGAACTAACATTAGACCTGGAACTAGAAACATTTGGGT